GCTTTTCATCTATGGCGCTCCATGATTTTTGGAAGAAACTCATCCACTTTTACCTCCATGCTTGTGTGGAGTGGACACTTTTAAAAAATTGTTTTAATCTGTTTTCCTATTTTATCTTAGAGTTAGTTCTATGTCACCGGTCTTGAAAATTATCTCACAATAAGGTAAAAGCACAATGAAATCTTTAATTTATTAATTTAATTAAATGAATAAAATATGATTTTTGCTTTTCTTATAATGCGATTTTTAACACCCACATTTTAAACTGTTTTTACATCCCTTTTTTCTAGTACAATGTTTACTGAGGAATAACGTTCATAAAGTGAAGTGCATATAAAGGGTACTAATCTTAAGAATGCAGCTCAGTGATTTTTCTACACACCTACCCTTGGTTGGCCACACCCAGATCAAACTACAGGATATTCCCACCCTGCTACAAGTTTTTCTCATTCTGATTTGTAGGTATTGACCCTCAAGCTTCTTCCTGTACCTCCTGCCGTACCTGTACTGACTTCTACCGTCATTAATTTGTTTTGTCCTGTTCTTGAGCTTCATAAAATTAGAATCATACAGTATGTGCACTTTACTGTCTAGGAAACTCCTTTTTAAAAGTAAAAATGAGTGTATCAAAGGCAGGGGTCTTTGATTTTGTTTAAGTTAGTTTATCATATTTTATGAAATCTCCAATAATCCAGTAATCTATTCTAGTAGGTTTAACTGAAATTTTTCATCTTTCTTAAATTCTCAAGAACCTTGACAGTCTTAGTTATGATTCCCCAGTCACCACCAATCTTACCAGAGGACATGTAAATTACAAAGGCTATAGACATGTCTATTTCACATTCCTTTTCTCAACTTACACTTGCCAACACAAAGCACCGAGGCTGAAAAAAACATTGTCACTTTTGTCGCTATAGCCATCTTATAAAATAGGAAAGCTGGTATTAGGAAGCATGACAATGACATCTTGGACTGACTGTTGTCTTCTCTTTGGACACTTGTGTATGACTCAATTAGTTATGCTTGGAAAATTCAGGCCACATTAAGCCTAGGAGCTAACAGTGGATAATGGTAAAACATATAATAGACAGAACTAGTACACATGACATGTGGCAAGATTCAGCACATTCACTGGCACCTGAAAAGGCCATGAAACCCAGAACCAGGTGATGCTTGAGAGTATAAGTAGACAGATAGTGAATTGGGCCTTTAGCCTTGAACCCAGACTTAATCACAAGGCTTGGGTCCTTGATAAGAGACTAGCAAGAGAAAGACAGGGCTTTAGCTTCAGGGAAATTAATTTACTAGGCAGGCTACCAGGACAGAGACCAACAAGGGAAAGGTATGCTCTAAGACAGTGGCTCTCAGAGAGGGGTCCTTGGACAGGCAGCATCAGCAGCACCGGGAAACGTGAGAAACGCACATTTGCAGACATCCACCCAGACCTGCTGAGTTAGAAACTCTGGGTTGAGGCCAGCCCAGCAGGCTGTTTTAACAACCCCTCCACATGACCCCGACCCAGGCTGAAGTCTGGGAACTACTAGCCTAAGTGTTTAGAATGAGAGTGCTGGGTGGAATCTGTTCTCAGAAGTTAGGGACGAATGTTAGAGCTGGGCTAACATCACAGAAAGCAGTGCTGAGTGCCAGGGCGATTGGCTGCAGCTCCCAAAGCCTCTCTGGTGTCACTGCTGTCCTAGGAATGAAGAAACTCTGAACAGAACCGTCGGAATCAGGTAGCGCCGGATGATACACGTGCCCCTTTGCAGAGGAGCTCAGCACGTACCATATGTGTTGAACTGCTTGCTTCTATCTCCGCACCTAGGAATTATGAGCTTTCTAAAGACAGAGACCAGGCTGTTCATCTCCACCCACGGTGTCTAAAAAATGCTTGAACCAGGACAGCAGCTTAAAAAACATTTGTAGAATGAATGCAACAGGAAGTGAGTGAATGAAAGAATGGATAAATAAAAGACAAGCTAAAAGCAGAGCATGTGTATTGTGTGAGTCCACATATACGAAATGTCTAGCATAAGCAAATTCATTGAGACAGAAAGTATTTGGAGTTTGCCAGGGGCTAGAAGGAAGGGGGAAATGGGGAGTGGCCACTAATGGGTTTGGGGTTTCTATTAGTGGGGATGGAATTATTCTGGAATTAGATAGTGGTGATGAGTGCACAACCTTACGAATATACTAAAACTCACTGAATTGTACATTTTTAAAGGGTGGGTTTTATGATATGTGAATTACATCTCAATAAAAATAATTACATTTTTTAGAAAGCAGAATGTGTGAATATCAAGCAAGGCATTTCGGAAGAAACATTTCATATGCCAAAAGCTATGCTGCGAAGACATGGGAATCTAACGCAATGAAACTTCACAGGACAAAAGGAGACTCCTGCAAACCGACTGCACCCTCTCCGGGCTCCCGGTGCAGCTTCGCTATCCCAGTAGAGCAGAGGCAACCTGGGGTGTGGTAAGCGGCACCAGCTGCCCTACGGTGTCCAGATAAACCCCCCCGAAGCCGTTATCCTAATAGCAGCACAGAAAAGCACACGGGACCACGGACAGCATCAGGAGAATGGAGTCTGACGCCCTCTCCCTTCCTCAGCCTCCTCATCTGTAGAGTGGAGAGAATGGTCACTCCAAACACTAGAACTGAAAGTTTACTGTTTGTTGGAGAGGGCAAAAGAGCGCATGAAAAGATGCATGAGCTAAAAGGTCACTGGGTGCTCTGGGTGCTGTCTTGGATTGCAGCCCTGTGGAGAAGGACAGGAGGGTCTCCTGGGCCCCTCCCACTGCCTCCGAAGCCAGGTGCACACGTGGCCCCAGGACAGCCACGGCCCGTGGGAGAAAGCTGCAGCCAGCTCTCCGGGCGCTTTACGAGCCCTTCTTGTTATTACCTCCTATTTCTTTTTATGCTACTGCCAAAATACCACCATTAATCTCTCGCACTCCCTGAAGGCAAAACACGGGTAATTGGATTTATCTGGTTTTAGAATTTGTTAGGTTCCGTTACAAAATAAATAAATAACTGACCTCGAAAGAGAGGGGCGTCTTCCCGGCTCGCGCTGTCATGTCGCGGCCTGGCCGGCGGGAGCCCGCCTGGCGTCGCCCGAGCTCATTAATCTCGGCTATCTCCTCCCCACACCTTGTCCCTCCTGTCTTCCAGCCAGTCCCTTCCCGCACTCGGCTTGATTTAAGAAGTTTCCCTCGCCTGACCCCCTCAGCTCCAGCGCTTCGCACTGTGTCTGGTTCCCCCTGCGGTCCTCCGCTCCCCGCAAGACGCGGGCCTCGCTTCATCACTTTTTTCTTTTTCCATCTCCTTCTGCCACAGCTGTTTCCTTTCCCGATTGTACTGTGTGGGGTTGTTTAAAACTTCCTTTCGGCAGCCTGGAGGCTTCGTGTTTCTTGTGTTGTTTCCCTTGGCTTTTTTGTTTTTGTAAGATGTGGATGGCTGCAGACGTCATGGGTGATCACAGAAAATCAGTTTGCCTCGGTGTTTGGCTTTTGATCGGGGCAGGGCCACAGCACAGTGAACACAAGAGACGTGCATTCTTTGGTTTGTCCCTTTATAGCACGTGTGTTAAATCCAGTAGAACCACCCAACATGGGCCCTTCCAGGCCGTGCTCATCCTTCTCTGAGAATTCCGACCACCTCCTCCTCCACGGCCCTCAGCCAAGGCACAATGTGGAGGAGCCACATTTGTGCAATGGGGCTTGTGGACGTTACTATTTGCCAGCCCAGCAGCAACTACTCACTAATAACTTGCTGACATCCAAGCCTCAGGGGGAAGGAAGGAATGCTTGAAACCGTCTTTCCAGGCCCCTGGCTCCTCCTGCTAGGTGATGTCTGGAGCTGCTGCAGCCATCTTGTAGCCATTAAAGGTGCTGATGTCAGCACTTTAATTGATGGAACCCAATCGTGGAACTGCCTCCCTCCCTCTAGCACCTGAGGGAGACTACAGATTTTACCATTTTGTACATATCTTTAATGTTGTATTTTATCACTTGGTGTTAAAAGCATCCTGTCTGAGGCATGACTTTTGCCCCTAACCCTAGCTCAACTGGATTAGGAGTGGACCCTCAATCCAAGCTGGGACAATCTGATTTTATCTCTCAGAAATTTGGAAGTGAGACAGAGAAATACTGGACAATCTGTGGAGACTTGTTTGAACTGTAAGAACTGTGAAGCCAAAAGAGGTTGGATGGCCATCTTCCACCCTGTGCAAGCAGAGCAAGATACAGGGGCAAAAGCAGCATGTGCGCGGGAAAACAGGAATGAGACCACAAGCCCACACCGAAAGGGGAAGGCAGCAGAGTCAGAGTGGCCGCCTCTGTTCTGAGAAGTGCCAAGCTCCTGCTTCCCTGCCTTTCAGAAGCCAAAAGTCTTCAATCCCCTGCATTCCATGGTCCTTACAACACAGCCTACCTCTTTATTTAAATAGTTTGAGTGGGTTTTTTGGTACATTTCAACGAAAAGAGTAAAGCAAAAAATTGTTGTACTCACAACTTGAGATACAGAGGTGAATTAATTAATTTCCCTCCCATGAATGAAGTCCTGTGAAGGGAAGACACATCGGGAGAGGCCACATTCAGTGGCTCACATCTGTAATCCCAGCACTTTGGGAGGCTGAGGTGGGAGGATCTCTTGAGCCCAGTTTGAGACCAGCCTGGCAACACAGGGAGACCCCATCTCTACACAATTTTTTTTAAAAACAATTAGCCAGGTGTGGTGGTGCATGCCAGCTACTCTAGAGGCTGAGGTGGGAAGGTCTCTTGAGCCTGGGAAGCCAAGGTTGCAGTGTGCCACAATTGTGACGCTGCACTTCAGCCTGGGGAACAGAGGGAGACCCTGTCTCAAAAATAATAATATGGCCGGATAACTTGCAAGATTATGTTACAGTTAACACTATGTACGTTCTGGGGGTGTGAGAAGAGAACTAGTTCATTCCCCCTGCATGCTCTGGTAAACAGAAAACACTAAAAAGTTCAGACACATTTTTTTTTTCAAAAAAATAGTGCACCAAACTAGTTTTGCTGGCATGAGAATCAGACTCATGGAACTGTATCTAAGCATTCCTGATTCTGTATTTCTGGGGCTGGGTACAGGAATCTGTATTCTAAAAATTCTTCCAGGATTAGTATAATGCCCAGAAAGTCTTGGAAAGCTTAGAAACCATTGAGATAAAGGTGAGGGGGAAATCAGAAAATATTAACAAACTGGAAGTAACATTTGAGAGAGACCCAAAAGATGAGACTCGCCATATATAGAAAGAGGTAGGGAAATAACTTTTCAGGAAGAAAGAACAAACTGAAAATTACCACACAAATAAAAGTTGTTTATGTTCACAGTTATTTCCATTTTTGTTATGGTCACAAATATGTACATGTCTGATTGCACCCACTTATGCAACCGAAAAGAACGATAGGGCTAACGATAGATTCAATCCACCTGCCTCTGTTAAACACACCCTATTTACATGCCCTGCAGAGCATCACAGAAGTTACTTGAGACAATTAAATTGAAATCCTATTCCTGCCCTCAAGAAACTAGCATCAGCTGAGGGGAAAAAAAAAGAATCTGTGTGTGTAGGTGAAGAGGAAGAGAGAGAAAAGATAAAGTAACAATAAACAAATGCTCTGATTACTAAAGAGTCAGCTACATCAGTAAATGCTTGGGGATGGAGGATGGATTAGGCTGCAGTGTTATCAGAGCTAGCTAAAGTTAATCATCTTCTCCTCCTCCTTTTCTTGAAATGTGGTCTTGGTCTCTGTTGTTGCTCAGACTGGACTTGAATTCCTGGGCTTGAATGATCCTCCCTGCCTCAGCCACTAAATTGTTGGGAATCCCAGGTGCACACCACTGCACCAGGCTTGAAGAACTTTTAAAATTTCTTGCAAGGCAAGTCTATTGAAGACAAATCTGAACAATTTCTCTTTGTCTGAGAAAGTCTTTATCTACGCCGATGATTCTTTTTTCTTGCAATGCTTTAAATATTTCACCCTGCGCTTTTCTTGCCTGCATGGTTTTTAAAGAAAAGCTCAATATAATTCTTATCCCTGCTCCTCTATAAATAAGGTGTTTTTCCCCTCTGGTATCGTCCAGATTATTGTCTTTACATTTGAAATTCTTCAGTTTGAAAATCATATGCCTAGGTACAGGCTTTTTATGTTTGTGTTTGTTTGTTTGCCATTATTCTTCTTAGTGTTCGCTGAGCATTCCTGGAACTGTGGTTTGGTGTCTGGCATTAATCTTGGGATATTTTCGGTCACTATTTGCTACAAGTATCTCTTCTGCTTGCTTGCTTTCTTTCTTTCTTTCTTTCTTTCTTTCTTTCTTTCTTTCTTTCTTTCTTTCGTTTCTGGTATTCTAATTACATAGGTATTGCATCTTCTGTTATTATTCCACAGTTCTTAGATTTTCTGTTCTGTTTTCTTAAGTCTTTCTCTTTGCTTTTCAGTTTTGAAGGTTTCCACTGGCATATTTTCCAGGAGGCACAGTTGATTCTGTCCTCAGCTGTGTTTAGGCTGCCAAAAAGCCCATCAATTGAGCTCATTCTTCATTTCTGTAACAATATTTTTTTTCTAGCATTCCTTTAGAATGTCCATCTCTCTGCTGAACTTACTCATCACTTATTGCATGCTGTCCATTTTTTCCATTACTCCTTTAGCACATTAAGCATAGTCATTTCAAAATGCCCGTGTGATACCATCTCTGCCATAGTTGAGTCTTGCTCCAATGTTTTCTCTGTCTCTTCAAACTCTGTTTTTGCTTTTTAGCTAGTGTGGGGTAGAGTATTTTCCATCCTGCAGTGAGATAGATTCTGTTAAAAAAACAATGTAATCAGGAAAAATAGTTTCTTTCAAAAATAAGCTTTTGTTAAGAAGAACAGAATCCTCTGGCCATGTTTCCAAATGGTTACCCTGCTCTACCTACCCCTTTTCTTTTCTTTCTTTTTTTTTTTTTTTGTTTAAAGATGGGGTTTCACCATGATGGCCAGGCTGGTCTTGAACTCCTGACCTCAGGTGATCCACCCACCTCAGCCTCCCAAAGTGCTAGGATTACAGACGTGAGCCACCGCGCCCGGCCTACCTACCCCTTTTCACTCTGAGAACCTGGTGGGGCTCCTGGAGGTAAAAACCACAAAAGTGTAGGGACTCCTCAAGGACTTATTGAAAAGTTTCACATTTCAAGTTAGTCTACACATAGTCGTCAGCAATCAGTCAATGGTCTTTTTTCACATTTCAAGTTAGTCTACA